GAAGACCACAGAAGGACATTTTATTTTAAGCATCCTTATGCAAGGACTACTCTAAAGCAAATGTGTATTTCGGTGGTTGGTGTAAAATTGTGGAATTCTCAACAGAATGATCTAAAGAGTTGTATATGTATTTTTCAGTTAAAGAAATTGTATAAATTAAGAAAAATGGGACTATATGAAGCAGAATGTGAATAAGTCTATGTACTCTGGTCCTGCATTGCTAAATATTTTTGATGTGATGTCGGTTCTTTATTTGCAGGTCCCATTGTTATTGTTATTATTATTATTATTATTATTATTATTATTATTATTATGCGCCGCTTTCCACCTTCTTCTCCAGTAGGACTCAGATGGGGGAGTTGCACTTTTCCTTTTCCTTATACATGTGATGTTTTGGTGTTGTTGTTTTTTGTTGTTGTTTTGTTTCTTTCCGTTAACCGTTAAGTGGGAAATAAGTATTTTTTGTGTTTCTCTTAGTATCCTAAGATACTGTTATGTTTGGCTGTGAAAAAAAAAATATATTATGAAGGGCAGACCATCTATTTCTATTTATTTTTTAGAAAGGGGCACGTCATATAAGATTTGTTTCTTCTCCCTGCTCCTTTTTGCTCAATGGTGTGTTTTTAGCGACATGTTTTGTTGGCAATTATTGTACATTGGGTTTTGCGTACCATGAGCGGGACAAATAAAAATGAAATGAAATGTGTCTAAATATTTGAAGGGTTCCTGCCAGAAAAGCTGGTCCCAAGCCCAAGTTGGTCAGAGGGAAGAGGAGTGGCTGAGCAGAAACACGGCAAAGCGCCTTGTCACTACAATAGAGCCGGCCCATCTTAAAAAGGTCAGCCTTCCTTGAGTGAGCTTTGAACCGTTATTGTTTTTGAACCCTTCATTTTATTCACCAGGTTGCAAAACACTATAGGAACTTGGCTTGGGTCTTGAGGGTTATCGCATGTATCCATTGATAAATAAACAAAATACTTGACTACTACTGCTAAGTTATTCCTTATAGCAGTTTGCTACTTGTATAACTTTGGTTTAAGAAACATCTTAAGAAATAATAATGAAAAATTTCAGCCAGACAGTCTGCTGGGCTTGTAAAACAGTGGTGGAAAACCCCGTTTAATTGTATGAATACCTGCATAAGTGATTACCTTTTCTAGTCGCTAATGGAGTAATAGCAAAGGTTGGAGTGGTGTGTTTTTAAAGTGAGTTGGCAAATAACACGTTACATTTTCAAAAGTTACCGAGTAGCAGCTCATCTAAAAGATATATCAAAGTGTGGTGGGAGGACGCAGAATAAAAAGCAGTTGTGTTCAAAGAGGGAAAAGGTCCTTGGCACTGAGCAATACCTCCCACTGGATGTCAATACAGAGTCACAGCCTCTGATCTGTAGCTTTAAAGAGTCCACAGGGCCGCACACTGCAAAGCCCGACATAATGAAGAAAGTATTGAAACACATCATTTTTCTCCCAGACTACAACGTCCAAACTCAACCTCTTTTTTGTCCATGGGTGCTTTAATTGAGGGCGTAGAACTAGAACAAATACATGTTGGACTTCAATGGCAGTTAAATAAAGGTAAAATAATGTCTAACTCAGTTTTGAAAACAAGCCCAAGAGTCCACCGCCATGCTAGCATCTCTATGAAACAATAATGCTAAAGGCCAACATGTCGTATCTACTGTAAGTGTTTCAGTGTGATAACATTCACTAATTAGTGCTAAACATTATGTAAAGCTGAGACTCGTGGGATTTGAAAGTGTGATTTCTTGTCATCCTGAGGCATGCCACTCAAGAACTCAAGGTATTTGATAGATGGTCAGTCAGGAGGGAACCAAAGTCATCAGGACACATCATCTGGGTACCTGAATGTACAGTTGCCAACAGGTACAAATGCTTTTCAACGGCCCAAAACACTTTCATTGGGAGAAATGCGCTGCAGTTTCAAAAACAATGAAAATAAAAAGCCACAGTTGTTCCAAAACACATGCAGATGTGAAAACATCTTCACCAACTTGACAAAACATGCTCAAAGTTGACTAAACAAGCTGCATAAATGAAAAGCTGCAAATATAAAATGCCGCAAGAAGCTAAGAATATGACAGAAAATGTTTCCCGGGGTTAATAAAACATTTTGCAGCTAGGACCGGAGGACGTTCAGGAATTCTAACGTTGGTTTTGAGATTTTTGCAGTGTTTTTCTATATGCAGCGTTTTGTTAATGCAAGGCATAATATGTTTCTTCATTTGCATGTCTTTTGGAAAATGTGTGTTTTGATTTGTCATCGTTTTTTTAGTGCAGCGCATTTCTCCAAATGGAAGTGTTTTTGGCTGCTGTAGCACTTTTGCACCTTCCGGCCACCATATATATTGAATATAATGTTGTTGTTTTGTCGGTCTGACTGTTTGTCTGACTGCCTTTTGTTTTTTTTAACTCGTGTTTTTTCTCTGTAAAGCGACCTTGTGTCCCATGAAAGGCGCTATATAAATCTATATAGTGTGCCAAGTGTTGAAATGCTGGAGGAAAAGTCAAGCATCACCAATGGTCGCAAATGTGTACCTTTAAAGACTGTGACATAGCCATTAGTCTCAACATGTGTCCAAAAATTACATTTGCTTACTTTCGCTTAAGACCTATAATGGCAGAAGGATTCATGGCTTTTCTCAAAGTTCCTTGTTCGCTTATTCCTTGTTCTCACTAATGCGGCTTTCACACCAGCGCTTTTCCCTTTCTAGCTCTGAGCTAGAGCTTTTCTGGTTCAGCTCCGGTTTTCCTTTTCTGCTCCCGCTCTGTTCACACCTCCCAGAGCCCGACTGGTATTGCTGCTGCGTCATGACGTCACCATCGCTGATTTGCTCCCCAACGGCGCTCACAACAACAACAACAACAACAACAACAACGGGGGACAGCGTCGGGTCGATGATCGTGTTGCTTTTAATCATACAAAGTCAGATTAAATAAAATAACGACTTCTCCAACCTTATGCTTTTGTCCAGAGTGCCGTGGTTCATTGTTTATTAATGTGTTTCAGCGGCATTTACCGACCGCTGCAGTGCAGCTCGTCCACTGGAGTTTATTCTCCCGTTAGCTCCGGGTTAACTAATACTTTAGAGCGGCCTCTCTAAAGTATTCACTGTCTGACTATCACACAAGCAGCTGATACATATCCCCAATTCCCCTGAAGTGAATGTGTGTCAGTCTGAATTGACGCTGTTTGGCATCACAACGCTGTTATTAAAGTGTCTCTGGTATAAAATGGGTGATGTTAGCATAGCAACCGAAGGTAAACTGACTACTTGCTATTGCTATCCTATTGTGGCATAAGGTAACCAAAAAGAGGGTGACGATGCCGACGCTGTGGGGTTAAATTAAGACAGGAAGGGGGCCGAGTCTCGAGTCCAGCAGCGTGCGAGACAGACGAACAGATCGATGTAGAGAGTCACCTATAGAACGAAGTGTTGGAGTTCGAGTTGGAATCTGTTCTGACTGACCGAAAAGAAGGCCTTTCTACAGTAGAACAAAATTAAAGCCGTGGAGCTACAAAAAGAGCTGAGTCTGACGTAACCTTAGACCACACTGGGACTCTATTGTTTGACAGGAATGACCTTTTGAACGACGATGGTTGGGCGACGACGCTAGTGAGAAAATGTGTAGTCCTCTAACAGGGTCGACTGGGTCTTCGCTGCGTCCAAGACCAAGGTCAAAGCAGTAGAAGGCGATCCTGATGACCGGTTGAGAGAGCGACCGACCAGATGGAAGTACGACGGTAGGCGAGACGTCGATAGGCTTACGTCCCGAGCAAACCAGAAGTTGGAAGATTAAGGAGGGTGTGGTGCGGCGAGAGGCGAGGGAGAGTGACCGAAGGCCATTGACGATCTTAGGTGGAAGTTCCGTTACCATGAACGCGATGTATAGGTCCGTACACATTGGCATGGTTGGTCTACACGTGAGGCGAGACGTAAGTCGGTTGTGTCGAGCGCGTGGCGTGACGCTCCTTGCGACAATGTGTAGAAGGCCGCGTCGACTTTTGACTAAGAGAAAGCGAGGTGAAGCCGCTATCTTCGAGAATTGTTTTCGGAACATAATGATTATCTTCCTGACCCGAATAGATTCGTCAACTCATCGTGAACTTACAAATCGAGATAACTTTGGACTACATGAATATACTAAGACAAAAGAAGTTCAAAACATGAAACAACCAGCTTGCGGTAATAACATCAGCGAAACCTATTTCGCAGGCGATTACGTTAATTCATTACATTTTCTCGAAACCTCGATTCTCGGCCGCAGCGAATGCGCTCCGCACGTCCTTTGATTTGGTGGAGGGGCTTGACCCAGCGACTCCCAATCGTACGCGACGGATGTTCGCTCATCACGACTCGTTCACTGATCTTCCGTTGGTGTGAAAATTTTTATTTGTGTGAAATATTCAGTCCGTTGTGATGGGTCCGAAGCACATAAACAAATAAACGTGGATGATAACTGTAGGCAAGTGACAAGAACTAGTAACACCTCTCTCGTTGCAAGAACAAAAAATTCGTCATGCCTACCTTATTATGTACCCGACGGTGTCCAACAGCACAAGGCTGATAGGGTATTCATCTTCATTATTACTTTTATAACGTGGCGGGGCCCATTTTACACAGACAT